CTCAGTTGAAACTCAGCCTGAAATCGATGGTTCTGTTAATATAATGCTCGCCTTTGGGCGTAAGATGATCCAAGGCTAACCCACTGCACCCCAAAACAACTACATTGTGGTGTGAGATGGTACAGGCGGTTCTGGTTTTCGCTGTCTGCTTCTAGTGGATCAATTTGACCATTTGTTGAAGGGATACTGCATTTTAATGCAGGCTATACCACGTGGTTAGAACAAGACGATGCCAAATCTCGCTAACTATGGCACACTTTAGCTTCGTCATGTTTTTGAAGCGAGAATATTGGTGAACCAGTAGTCTGTATTTGAAGAAGGATTATCGTGGTAGCGTAGTTGGTTGAGGCACTATGCTACAAGCCGGACGGTCGCGGGATCGAATCCCGATGAGCTCATTGGATTTTTTTCAATTTACGTAATCCTTCCAGCCGCACTATGGCCCTGGGGTCGACTCAGCCTCTAACAGAAATGAGTACCAGGAATATTTTTGGGGGTAAAGGGCGGCCGGCGCGTAGGGCTGACAACCTTGCCGCCATCTATGAGCCGATTGTGTAGAAAAATGTGGGAACCTCAACATCTCACAACCCTATGGAGCTCCACGGCCTGTTACAGGGATACCTTTACTTTTATTTATCCGGTTTTAGCATTATATTTTCCGAAGGGAAGTTTCATGTCAAATAATACAGTTAGCATTGTTCTTGGAAAGTAACTCAACTGTGCTGACAATCTGTAATATATATCAGTGTTGCTCTAAAGTGCCTAAGACTTGGAAATTGTCATTAAACACGGCAGTGCATGCGCAGTCAGGAATGTAATTTGTAGTTCCTATAAAAAGTTATAGATTGTTAGGGCTGTACCTTGACTTTCAAGGGTTAATGACCGGTACAACGCGAAGAATTGCCTATACTTCATTCTCAATGTCTGTGGAGTGGGCTTAAGCATGTTCTTGTCCCATTTCAACCCTCTGGAGCTATTTTAATTTTCAAGTTGCTGGATGTTATTATTAATATTATTATTATTTTACTGCAATTGTGTGTTAACCCGGTGGCAGTAGATCTTACACCGATGAGGAACAATACAAAACAAAGTACATTCAATAAACAAGGCGCACACAGTTCAAGTACACATATATTATTGATGAAAATGATTCGAAGACGCTATGACTTCATGAATAAACCCACTCAATTTCGGAATCTTTCATTTCCTGACACTGTCAGTACCCAGAGTGTTCGCTGTCTGTTGCGAACGAATACTTCATGAATACCAAGAACAGGAATGGAATAGTTGGCGGGCGTAGTAATAATGTCTCTGTAGTCACAATCTGAGGAGCAGACACGTCAGAGAATCTTGCGAGTCGTTTCAATGCTTCTCCCATGACTCATAAGTGTGCGCTGTGGAGTAGCATGTCATAGATGGCAAGGCGTTGTGGATGTGTAAGATGAACGGGTCCGGGGGTTTGGGGGGGGGGCTACTGCAGAGTAATTATTCCGCATTCGGAGGTCATGGTTACTGGCTTCGATCTATAATATATTGTGAAACACGTTACAATATTAATACTAATAATAAACCAGTTAAACTCTTCTTTATTTACGTGCAAACTTAAAACAGCTCAGAGGCCAATTACAAAGTTGGCACGAATAAGAAATAACAACACAAACAAAGTAAAAAACAAGGCAGTTTATATGCTACTAATGTTACTGCTACTACTAGTACCTTTTTTTTCCTTGGCCCTACAGCCCCAGTGGGCCTAGGCCTACCTCCATGAACTTCTCCGTTCACTTCAGTTTTTCTAGATCTTACACATTCGGTATGACTCCTTGGGCGGGTGANGCATTAAAAATTTAAATTATCATTAAGAGGCGAGGAAAGTTAATATAATACATTTACAATGGTTATGCCGTTATGCGGGGGAGAAATGGTTTTATACATACTTATACATACATGCATATATACGTATATTTATTGCTTATAATTAGTGTTTCAACATGAGGAAAGGACCGTTATAAAATACGATTAAGGAGAACGTTTTTGGCTCTAAATACGTCAACGTCCCTGGAAACAACATTAGCAGCTGATACACATCTAACAGAGGGACGACGACTTTTACACGAGGAGCAGACAATGAACAAAGCAAAGTCTCCGATGTTCCGAGCAGGAACAAATTTCCAAAACAGAAGGACAAAATTTAGAACCAAGGTAAACTTGAATAAGAAACAGTGCATCATCATATGCAAAGGGTGCAATTTGAACTCCTCCAAAGCAAGAAAATGCTGCAATGAACTTAAGGAAAAAAATGATTAAAAGAGAGGGCCGCAAATCTCTTCCGGATGCGTTGCAGTTTGTTGGCATCAGTCGATGTAATTGAATTCCACACCTCGTACGCATATTCAGGCTTGGATCTCATCATCATCAGTAATCTGTCAGACGACAGGTCCACAGTCTCTTCCAAAACAATTCCTCCACTTAATGCGATCTAGAGCTTTCTCCTTCAAATGACAGTATCCTCTTCTGTCCCCAAGGTCATCCAGCATCTTCTTACGTCTTCTTGTCACTTTTATCCGCCCCTCTATCTTTCCTTCAATAACTTCTTTTAGAAGGCAGTTACCGCGTAAGATATGCCCAATCCAATTAGCCTTCCGTTTTCTTATTTCGTGTAGGATATTCCTCTGCTCACTGACTCTAATTAACACTTCTTCATTTCTCACATAATCGGTCCAACTGATCTTCTCCATCCTTCTCCAACACCACATTTCGAAGCTTTCCAGGTGTTTCTGATCTACTGCCCTAAGTGTCCAAGTTTCAGCCCCATACAAAGCAATGCTCCAAATGTAGCATTTCACTAGTTTCTTCCTCAAATTCTACACAACATAATTTATAATCTGTGCATAACATCCTATTTCTGTTCGTTATTAGCCGTCTCACATGCAACTGTGGTCTAGTGGTCAGGGTTCCTGGCTACAGATCCAGAGGTCCCGGGTTCGATTCCCAGCGCTACCAGATTTTCTGAGAAGTAGTGGGTGTGGAACGGGGTCCACTCAGCCTCGTGAGGATAATTGAGGAGCTATTTCAAGGGAATAGCGGCTCCGGTCTAGAAAAACGAGATTAACGACCGCGGGGATCCCTTGCGCTGACCACGTGACACCTTCTTGCCCAAAAGTTGGCACTAACTTCGCCGATAAGCGGCGGTTTCTCGGTCGGTATAGTTCGCTTGCGGACTGCAGGGCACGGAGTTAAAAGTTTTAAAAGTTAAAATCTCTTCCGCATCATTGGTGTATTCACACTGCATGTTTCGACCAACATTGGTCATCTTCACGTGACTCTAAAGTTGCTAATGAAACTGTTGTCCTTCGGTCCGGAAGTTCAATTTTTAGTGTATGCCGCCGTCCATGCAGCAACGTGTTTTGCGGTGATGGGTAGTTCCTCACATTGCGTAGTGTGTAGCTGTTTTAAAGGTTTCAAAAGGCAAGTTGCATGCGAGACGGATAATAACCAACAGGAGTAAATCTAATCTGTGCATACATTCAAGAGCCGGACAGTGGCGCCAAGAAGTGAATAAGAAATTAGTTTTAACTTCCGTAGTTTGATTCATCTGTCGTAACCATTTACTGGCAAATTTCTTTAAAATCCCTATTCTCCGCCTAGAATGTTACTTCCGTTGACTCAGGAAGGCAGAGGTGGGCGAGATGCATAACATGAATAGGGGGGAAAAATGCACTTAATTCTTTTAAGCGCTTTACGGAAAGAGACACTGTAGAAGACTTACAAGTTGATGGTAGGCTAATATGAAAACGGACCCTATATACATTGGATTAAACTGGATCAGTTTAAGAACCAAAGCCAGCTTTCTTGATCAAAATGGAACATGACAAGTGTCTTTTGAGTGGCTACTAACTGAACCTCTGAAGAAGGGCAGTGTAACACAACTGCTTAGTGAGCTAGTAATGGAATTGGCCTGTGTAGGAGTTAACTTTCGTATTTTATATTCGCGAAGTCTTAGGTTCAAAGCTTGTTCGGAACATTGGTTCTCTTGTTTGAGGGTTTCGTTTTTTCATTAGTCCGTGAAAGAAAAGTGTTGGTATATTGACTTATAATATCTGCGTTATATAAGCCCTGCAGTTGAAACAGTGCCGTTAAACTGGCCAAGAAATGCAACAGGAAGTGTACGACTTGAGCCCTGGTGCCGCCACTGTGTACAAGAGCGATCGATTTAAGGCTTGTTTCGGTTGCAGAAGCGAGCTGTATAAGATAGGAAGATTAAAGAATGGTAAATTGGTAAGGATATTGAAGAAGCTCACCATGGGTTATTTGGAGGTACTGTCGCATGGAGAGACTGAAGGCAACCACGACAATCCCCAGTCAGAATAGTCGGAAACACGGCTGAAATTCGAAACAAGTAGCATTAGCGCTACTGTAACCTGCTCGGTACGACGTAGGTCTGGTTGTCTCTGAGAATGAAACTTCGGAGGCGTCGCTGTTGAGTAGTCAGGTAATCTTGTTTCTTATTCTGGAGGTCCCCGGTTGGATCTCGAGCAGACGGTCGGCGGTTTTCCTCAGATCCTACAAACAACTGATGGAAGCGTCTTCAAAGAGGCGTACAAAATCTTTTCCAGTTCATCATTTACAGTCATCCAACCATTCGATGTTTAATGGCCCTCCAGATGAGAAAGACAGGTGAAATATCTTCATTAAATTTCAACTCGACGTTATTATCAGTTTTAAGTGTCCTGGCATAAAATGACCGATTTACAAGCATCGTCTATTGTACTACACGCACACACACTATGGATGTTTTAACAATGACGTAATCACCGTTTTAGTTGTGTAGCGTTTTCATGTTCGAAATGAGAGTAAAAAGAAAATAACATTTTCCTGCTTCCCCTTTGTTCTATGACTCTGATTTGTGGAATTTCATACTGATGACGTAATGGCCGTTGTCAAAGGAAGGACATGTCTTACTACAGCACGACCCCACGCGTGACGTCAGGTAGAGGATGTAGTGCGCTGGAAGGACTGGAAGCTTGCTTCATGGAGAGGGAAAGGTTGTCTTGCGTTGTACCTGTTGCTGTTGATAGTTAGTTGTGGAACTCGCCGAGGTCTGGGAACAGTTGCGGATGAAGCAGCCTTGTGAAAGGGAAAGTGAATGAGAAGAGTTGCAAGTATTTCAGCGTGCCTAGTGTGAGTGGCGTCATTGCATAACTAACGAAAGCAAGGATTACGGTAGTTGTAGATCTATTCTTGTGTTCTGTGTGTATCTTTAGCGTCTTCTGACGAGTCTGGGTTGTACATGGTGCCCCAGTTTGCGATGAGATTGTATACAGGTATCAGGATTATATATATATGTGGTTGGAAGGTAAGGAAATTCTCATCTGTCAAGAATGCTGCCGTATATGATTGGGGAGAACAAAACCGTCCATGGACATGATAGAGAAATTAGTTTTAACGCTTCTGTACTTCCGCATTAAAATTTTTATAAACGAATTTAAAATTGCAGAAATTGGAAATATGAAAATTCTAAGTAACGTAGTATATTGAAAGAGTGTTTATGTTGATGACTGAACGAAACATAGACTTAACGTTGCAGATAGTAGATTTGAGGCATTTACACTGTAGCTTTGTCAGTGACTGCCAGAAGTGTCACTGCGAATGCCCGCCGATTCTATTTTTCGGAGATACGAAGTACAGTTTGGGCAGGTTGGTTTATTTTCTTCCCAATTTAAGAATATTGTTTTACCTGAGGCAGCTGATTACAGACAACGATAATGTTATCAGCAACAACAAAAAATAGTTTAACTTGCCATTCTAAATGTTGGTATTGTAATTTTTACTAAATATTCGATGCAGTGAGATAAAGGTAAACAATAAGTGTATTCCGATATAGTGTTGTATTATTTCGATATGAGCTCCGGTTGTAACTCAGGATGCATTCACCTCTAACCCAGTTACTGCCATGTGGGCAACACGTAACTTGGGTAAGTATACGTACCAACAGCTTTCAGTAGTCTTCTTATAAACTGTCGGCAGCGACCCAGCTTTTAAGAGGTGCAGTTTAACTTTCCCATCACCTCCGTACTCCAGAGATAGAAATAGTTCTAACGGGACAGGGATCGGGCTGTCGTGAAGGCCAAGACATTGGGCCTCCTCGCAAATTTTGCATAGAAAGTAAGCATTCAGTGGGACACGCGGTAGCATAGTTGGTTGAGGCATTATGCTACAAGCCGGAAGGTCACGGGTTCAAGTCCGATGAGGTCATAGGATTTTTCTCAATTGACCTAATCCTTCCAGCCGCACTATGGCCCTGGGGTCGACTCAGCCTCTAACAGAAATGAGTACAAGGAATATTCTTGAAATATTCTTGGGGGTAAAGGGCGGCCGGCGCGTAAGGCTGACAACCTTGCCTCCATCTATTAGCCGATTGTCTAGAAAATGTGGGAATCTCAACATTTCACAATCCTATAGGCCTCCACGGCCTGTTACGAGGATACATTTTTTTTATTGCTAGTGGGGTGGTACTATGTCCCATGTACTGTGGCCACTTCTGGCCTATTGTATCAGCCCCAGATGGTAGGTGAGTGTGATTGTGGAGCAATTGGTGGAATGAAGATTGGCAGGGGAAACCGAAGTACTCTGAGAAAACCTGCCCCAGCGCCACTTTGTCCACCACAAATCCCACTTTACCTGACCCGGGATCGAACCTGGGCCGCCGCGGTGGGAAGCCAGCGACTAACCGCTTGAGCTATGACGCGGTCTACCTTTACTTTACTTTACTTTACTTTACTTTACTTTACTTTAAGTGAGCATTCAGTGGCCGATTCACTGCATGATCGAAATGTGGGGTTGTGTAGTGTGTACGTTCCATATGTCGAGGCTTCAGAAGCAAGTAGTCAACGGGAAGAGGGTTCTGGTGCACTCTATGAATATTTGGAACATGTCCTTAAGTTTAATGTGTGGTGTACATAAGTAAAGAACAGATCCATTTTTATTAGCGGAAAATCAAGAAATTACAAAATGTACCCAAAGCATAAAATATCCCACGTTTTCGCTCCGCCATTTTCTTTAGATTTTCAGTTCATGAATGTTAGCTTTTGGCTTTCCTTTGTAAATGTAGTAAAGTTTGGAAGGAAGGGTGAACAAGCAAGGACTTCCGGTATCAAAGTTGATCAACATCAGCCCAGCAGGTCGCGGCTTATGAGATAGAAAACAAGTTTTTCGAAATCCATATCACAGAGGAAGCATATTGGCCGTAACAGTTTCATTTTTTTCTGTATAGATTTTTCTTTTACACAAATTGCTCGTACGGATGAAGGATGTTAGGTATGAGAGGCACAGAGAAACGCACGTGGCTCTGCCCGTTACAGCATATGTTTCTTCTGTTAGATTTTAGCCAACATTGGAATTGAAGAAAGCAGTCTTCTGGGATTTGGCACCGAGTATATGTGGTNTTGGAATTGTCCACCAACTTATAGTGAAAGTTTCCGGTATCGAATTTTAAAGAAATGTATACAGCAGTTCGGGCTCTGATACTGTGTCACAGACGAACATAACCTCTACACAAGGCGTTGGTTCTTGTATTGTAAAGAGCGCGGAGAAGTGGTAATTGCTACGGTAAGACACCAGGCAAAAAACTGCGTAAAACACAGTGACAGTAAAAGTGAAAGAGTGGTAAAGATGTACCTGTGCTTAATTCTTAAAGCTGTATGCCGTGTAGATATATGGGAGAGGGGAGGTATAGCTTCACAATTCTTGACCGCGGCACTAAATTTGAGTGGTCAGTTTCACAATCCGGCTGCTTTACCACTGGGAAATCGCCTATTACACCTATGAAACCCAGAGCCGGTCTGGACGCCTTGCAGAAGACAAAAATCTTGCTCTGTCGGAAATCGGTATGTTAATGGGTGTTCATAATTTAAAAATATTCTTCAACAATAATCAGTTATAGGCGTACGCCAAGCGAGGAGGTTGGTATAGAATTGAAAGGGATAACGATTACTGTGAATAATTAAACGTCATACCATACATGGGTTGGAGGTGAAGCTCCAGGTATTCTTAACCTCGGCACTGCCCGGAAAAGAGTACGTGGTATTTGTTGGACAGACCGCTACGCTGTCAGTGAGATGCTCTGTTCCGAGTGGTACGACTGTAAAGGTCTTCCTTCCTTTCGGCACTTCTGACCATTGTCGAAAAGCAAACGCCTATCGGTATGGCGGCTCAGGGACCAGAGGCATTGCTTGGCCGTTAATAAGAATAATCATAATAATAATCATAATCCCCCCCTCAGGCCTATAGAATAAAGGCGAAATTATGGCGTAAAAGGTAAAGTTGTCCCTGTGCTTAACTAATTAAGAACTAAGCCATGAAGGCGTCTGGGGGAGTGGATGTATAGGTCCACATTTTCTTGACCTCTGCACTAATTGGACATGAGTGGTCAGCTTCACGCCCCGGCCGATTTACCGCCCGCGAAAGAGACCCACCCCCGGTGGTGGAGCCCCAGACCCGGTCTGGATGACGTGGAGAAGAGAAAATCCTTGACCCTACCGGGACTCGAACTCCGACCCTTCGGTCGTCCAGCCCGTAGCCAGTACGTATATCGACTACGCCAGCCGTGTCAAACATGCGGCTTCCATAGCCACAAAGTGCGGCCCCCCTCAACTTTTAGAGCTAATTGATATTAAAATCAATATTAAAATTTTAGTAGAAATATTTTTTTCTAAAGATAATTTTCCAACAGACCAGAAGACAGGAAGTCTCACGCAGGCATAAATTAGCAGGCTGCGGGAAATTAAGTGTTTTGCTATTCCTAACATAATTTCTTGTGTAATCTCTCTTTTTACATATTGAAAAGTTGTTTGATACTTTTAAAAAATGGCATTCTCTTGCTTTTTAAAACTGTAAGATATGTGACTTTAGGTAATTATTTTGAAATTATTCCTAAATAATAAATAGAATTAAATTTAAAATCTAATGTATATTTCTATTTTGAAGTGCGGCCCTGGACTATTATTTATAGGGCTGAGGTGGCCCTCGGTACAAGTTGAGTTTGACATGCCTGGACTACGCTAACCTGGCTCATAATCAACGTAAAGACAGCTAGAATTGTTATCAGCCCGAGTTGAACACACCTTACTGAATGGAGCAGCGCAAATTGAGGAAACTGCGTTTCCGGCAACCCAGGCTGATAACAATTCTCGGTTGCGGTTTCCAGTTTCCTTGGTGTGCCCTCATCCTTAACATCTACGAATAAATTAAGGACAGTTTAAATTCGTTTGTGGGCTATATTCAGTTGTACCGGGATAGGGGCCCAGTGATGGTCTGTTAATACACGACAGTGGACGCTGCCACGAAGGGAAGTCAATTGTTTACAGTTAAGTACTGCAAGAAGTTGTGGTAAGAACTAGCCGCCTACTTTCCGTGATACGACACGGACCTCCTAGAAAAAGACGCGGCATACAATTCTTCTGTTATTTGTGTATTCGTCGCCGCGGTAACGTTTTTATCGAGCCGTTTCCTAGGGACGATAGGGCTTATACGTATACATATAGACACTGCTGGCATGGATTCAGTGAGTTAGACCCCGCGTGGAGGGATAGCCCTGCGAGTCCTAAGAGGCGACGAGAAGGGAACACAGTGCATTGGGGTATAACTGGGCCACCATGTTCCTGGGGGATATAAATACGGGGGCCTTTCCCTCCAGGTTGGGGGAGTCTCGAATCTGAGACAGTAAAATATGGATATGAGTAGGGACCGGATTTTTATGCCATAATTATCCCTCAAATATGTATGCATTTATGCATGAAAACTTCCAAAATATTTACGTAAAAAGTTCGTACGAAACATTAAAATTGATTTTACATTATTTCATGACCAACAAATCAACACTTAAATTAATTTTATGTAATCACTGAATGATTCACTTGCAATGAAAAACTATACTTAGATACAAATCATGAAAAAGCCAAAATTTTTTCATTACAAGTTAAGATAACCAATGGTACTCACATTTAGCTCTCCAAGCTTTCAACTTGTCTTCTGTTGCAGTTCACAATTACGAAATATTTTAGACTTTCCATAGTTAGTCGCCTCCTGTTGTCTCCTTATAGCGGAAAAAACTTCTTTCCACCTCACAGGAACTAAACGGGCGCATGTAAAAAGCCGCAATTTGCTCCACCGTTAGTAATCTT